GGGGCTTCCTAGGGGCAACGTACCGGAGCATCGCATTTCATGCCCTGCAGCCAAGATTCCTTACTGAAAAACGCGTGAATCAATAAATGTCAGTGCGGACGTTTTTCCAATTATTTTGTATCGTGGTAGTTATATTAGGCTATACGCCCCCCATCTCGAGAGGAGGCTCCAATAGAAACTTTGCACATTAAGGGAGAAGGTGTCCGAAAAGGACAAAGGGCGGTTCGCTCTATACGGCAGCCCGGCCTCTATCGTGGAATTAGTTCCACGGTAATGCTCTCCCTCCTCCTCCTGCGACTCTTCCTCCATCAGGGACCTAGTGGATCCAGCCAACCCCCGACCTCCGTAGCGTTGGGGCGCACATGACAGCCCATACCATTTTAGTCCTGTCAAACCTCAACAATTCGTTGATTAGGAGCCCCCTAAATGAGATGACCCCCACCCCCCACCCCATTTTCCACACAGTGAAACAACGGTGTGTTTATATTTATATATACCGGGAATGCAATTATTTATGAGGAAGAAAAGTCAACATCGCCCCCACCCCCCAATTCCCCTCCTAATCCCTTAGTGTTTATTTTCGTAAGTAATTACGGGAGATGCGAAGCGCGCTCCCCGTCGCGTCGCGTGATGGAGTACATACCGTGGCGCTGCCGGCAGGGGCCTGGTGTCCAGGAGGGTGTCCCCGAAGGGTGTTCCCGGTTCCGCTGAGCGGCGAGTGTGAAAGTGTCCCGCGGGGACCCGCAGGTGGGTCGAGCGCCGGCGGCCTGGCTCTGCGCTCGGCCCGTAATGAAAATAAAGAACGCGTCCTCTGTCCCGCTCGAGCAAGGCAAAGGCAGGGTCGGCAACCCTTCACTCAGGCTGCAGCGACCCGCGCGGAGCTTGGCTCGGCAGACTGCGAGACCGGGGCAGCAGCGGGGTGCGCCCCATCGGAGAGACGGAAGTTAGCGTCGCGCCCCGGGTCTACCTCAAGCGGCGTCGTCGTGGGGGAAGCGCGAGGTTCACGGCGCGGCCGACGATGGTCGGCGCGGCATGGCGACGGCGGCACCCGGGTCGGCGGCAGCGCATGCGGCCGCCGACGTCGGCGTCAACGAGGTCGACGTCGAGAGGTTGGGTGCGCCGTCCTATCGCTCCGGTGGGTGAGGAGCGTTCCAGCCGAGCCGGCGTTTGGCGGGAGACTGGACTGGGACAGAGGCACGGCGGCCCACGAGCGGCAGGACAGTGGGGGAGGAAGACCGGGGGGGGGGGGAGCGACCAACAGGCTGAGCCGAGACACCGCCTGCCCAACCCCCCACACCCTATTATGCGGCTCTCTTGAGGCTGAGCATGACTTTGAAAAGTGATTGGTATACGATCTCTTCTCTTTTTGCCTTTCTGTGGTTATACGAGTGAGGGGGTCATACAGGACGCCGATCAAAAGATTAGGAGAAAAGAGAAACTCAGAAAGATTCCTAATTGTTAAAAAGGGGCTGACACCCACCATTTTATTTCATCACATCAATAAATTAAAGGATCTCACACAAAAGATTCACAACACTGGTAAAAAGGAAAGATGTTGGATTTACAATCAAAAGCTATACCAATATCATACTTGGGCTAAAGGTTTAAAAATTTTCTTCACTATTGACAATACGACTCTTGGCAAGAGCTTTGAATTTCTCAATGACAGCATCGATTGTGAACTCTCCATGTACTAAGTTGTCCCTAGTACGGATGTTGACAGTGTTGCCACTTAGCTCCTTCTCACCAACAACTGGAGGAAGAGAAAGAATTAACATACTATTTTGAGCAAATCAAATGAAATTGTTAAGGATAAGATAGAAAACATACCCATGATAAAGTTGTACTGAGCCAACTGGGCATTTCTGATTTTCTTGTTCATTGTATCACTGTCATCTGTATCAACATCACACATGAATCCAGCCTCAAACAACTGCTGTTTTACCTAAGGGGAGGAATGGTAGATTTAAATTTTGGTCATTTGTTTAATAATTCTGAACTTAAAAAATAAATAAAATAAAAATCTGTTTTAGAAGAACATACCTTTGTGGCATATTCATTGAATGGACCAGCCACAGGTATTACCATAGCCTGCCTTGGAGATATCCAGAAAGGCCACTTTCCAGCATATGACTCAGTGAGCACAGCAATCATACGCTCTACTGAACCCAGAATGGCTCTGTGGATCATGACAGGCTTCTTCTTTTCACCATCAACTCTAGAAACACAGATTCAGATTTATTACAGAGTGATAGTTCTACATAAAAGTACACCACATTTTACAAATATTAAATATGTGAGAAAATTCACAAGAATTAGCTTTACTAACCCAATGTAGCTGAGATCAAAACGAACAGGAAGTTGGAAGTCAAGCTGAATGGTAGCACACTGGTGGGGGCGACGTAGAGCATCCATAATAGTGATATCAATTTTAGGTCCGTAAAAGGCCCCATCACCAGGGTTTTCCTTCCATGGCTCGCCAAACTCATTCAAACTCTCAGAAAGTGCCTGTTATAAAGAGAGAATTCTCTAAGTGAAAGCAAACCAGCAAAGACGGGATGGGGGGAAAATCATGAAGTACTTGCCTTCTCAGCATCATTCCAAATGGAAATTTCTCCCAAATACTTCTCAGGTCTAGTAGAGAGCTTCAGTTGGAAAGTAAAACCAAAAATACCATACACATGTTTCATGAAGTCCAAACAGGCAGAGATTTCTGATTTGATCTGTTGGAGTAAGAATACAAATTAGCAGCATGAAAAAATGGCAAATAATGTGTCAATGGCCACAAAACGGTTACACTTTACACCTACCTGATCCGGCATACAGAAAATATGAGCATCATCCTGCTGGAATCTTCTGACACGGGTCAAGCCAGTAAGGGCTCCAGAAAATTCATTTCTGTGCAGAACACCAAAGTCAGCCACCCGCCAAGGCAGTTCCTTCCAAGACCTTGGACGGTGATCAAAGATCAAACTGGAAAGAAAATGTGAAAAGTCACAAGAAAATTCAGATTGTAGAAAAAAAAGACCAACAACAGCAAACAAAAGATTTCTCACCAATGTCCAGGACAGTTCATAGGTTTCAGTGCGTATTGTTCCTTTTCAACTTCAAAAGAGAACATATTTTCCTATATGATAAAGATCAATTACTTTTAATTGAATCACAAATTGCTGTATTAATTATTCAATTTCTAAATATTTCTTTTCACTTACAGCATAATGTGCCCAGTGTCCTGATGTCTTCCAAAGCTTAGAATTGTAGATGTTGGGTGATACTACTTCTTGGAAGCCACGTTTCCTGTATTCTTCACGAATGAATTCAACTAAGGAGTTGTAAATGTGGGCACCTTTAGGTTGGAAGAAACATGAACCTGGACTAAGTTCATGAAAGAAGAACAATTCTTGTTCCTGATCAAATAAAAAGAAATGCATCAGGCATGCAAATAGAACAGAGCATTTGAAGAGCTTCAAGACAAAGGGAAATTGTACTCACTCTTCCAAGCTTACGATGGTCCCTCTTTGCAGCTTCCTCTTGGATTTTCTCCCATTCTTTCATCTGCTTAGGGTCGGGGAATGAGATTCCATAGACTCTCTGCAGTGATTCTGCATCAGCCTTTCCTTCCCAGTAAGTGGCAGAATTCTAATAATAGAAAAACGAACATTGAGACAAAAAATACATGACTTTCTCAAAGTAAAATAAAACCTTCCATCAACAATGAAATCTTACCTTGGTAACTTTCAGTGACTTGATCTTTCCTGTGTTTCTAACATGTGGACCCCGGCAAAGATCAATTAGAGGACCACAACGATAAACTGTAGTGGTTGGAGTGGTCACTTTCTCATTTAGGATACGAACTTTAAATTCATTATACTGAAAATTTGATTTTTAAAAGTATGGATTATGGAATTATCATACAATAAGTTTTAAATCAGAAAAAAATAATCATACCTTAAACATTTCAAGCAGCTGTTCTTTGGTCATTTCAAGGCGCTCAAAAGGCTGCTTCTCTTTAGCAATGGTTTTCATGAGACCTTCAATAACAGGGAAATCTAGGTTGGAAACCTGAAAATAAAAATGCAAACTTTCCATCTTAGGTATTTACAAAACTCTGGAAAAATAATAATGTATGAGAATTAGTAATCTGACCTGTTTATCAGGGAGGAACATGTCATAGTAATACCCATTTTCAATTGGAGGACCATAACACAAGCACCCACCATAAACTCGTTCCATTGCTTCTCCAAGAACGTGGGCTGTGGAGTGCCAAAAGACCTGTTGAGCTGAAAGAAAAATAGGGATTATGAAAATCCATGTTCTGAAATGAGAACAAGTATATTTTACAATAATTCCTGAATTTAGCAATTTGAAAATCACCTTCTTCATCATCAAACTTCAGCAGCTGCAATTTGCAGCTGCTCTCCAAAGGCCTATCCAAGTCCCAGAGAACACCATCAACCTTGGAAATCACAGCGTTTTCTGCTAAGCCTTTACTGCAAATAAAATTTTAAAAAAGGAATCATATACCTGTATCTACCAAATTTTTGAAGGGGAAAAAAATTCTTACCTTATGCCCATTGCAATATCATAAGGGGTGGTGCGCCATGATTCAGCAGGGATAGCTTTACCATCAGGAAGGGTGACAGTGATGTTTTCAGGTGTCTTGGAGGCAACTTTAGCATCATATTCAGCTTTCAGTTTATCCCACAAAGTAAGACGGTCCTAGAAAAAAGAGGGAAGTTTTAAGACAAACAAAAGTGGTGAATTAGAAAAAAGGAATGGTCCCGGGAAAACGCTCTATACCTGAATGTACGATGGCCATGGCTTCAACTCTGACACAGTTGACTTTTCCTTTTCAACTTTCTTCTTAGGAGCCTGAGCACAGAAAAATTTTTATGATGAATAATGAACTGGCCTTGCATCAGGTTGTCATTAAGAACCAAAACAGTATTAAAGGTGCACATGAATACAAGCGATAAGCAGAAAACTGACAGGTGGGCGTGAATGGTAATTGATTATTAAAGATTAAAATACAATGCTATAGTACATACCACAATTAAAACAAAACTAGCAGGGGGATCATATTAATGGGTACCACGCATACAAAACAAAAATTAAAAAAATATGAATCAAAGTATGAATCAAAAGCAGCTTTGTACTAAAAATTTGCATTGGCATGCTTGAAACTTAAATATCACAGTTAATACTGGCATGGGTATTATGCTTTGTCCGTATCTTTCTCTACTACTGAAATTATTCCATAGTTGCTTTAAAAAAATGTCATGCCACACCTGATCATTCCGCTTACCTCTTTTTTCTTTTCTTTGGTATTTGTATGCACAGTTCTGTTGCTATCTACAGCACTGGTGTTAATAAGGGACAGTAAACTCTCTCTACCACTTGCTTGATCACTACCACATGGCTTCAACACAGCACCAGAAAATGCTGCACGAGACTCAGCAGAAAAACTAGCCAAGTGTCGTAGCCAGCGGGACAAGTGCAAGTACTTTGCCATATTCCCTTGAGGAAAATGTCCACTAACAAAACGATAAACCTCTGTGTCTTCTTGACTTGGTTCGTATCCACCAATGTAGCTAAAATATGACAAGTGACTGTCCAATTTACTGAACACACTAGATTCAGTCATTGTCTTTATTGATCGAAAGTCTACTGACAGAAGATGTATTTTTGCAAATCACAATCCAATCATTCACCAGTCAGCATCTGATTTCCTGGTCAGATAAAATTCATAAAATGAGTAAGAGAATTAGAAATTTGACAACGGCCCCAGAATCCTATGGGCAAATCAAAACAATAGATACGGCGGTGGTTCGACAATCTTTTCATTCAAATATGTGAGAGAGTATGTATGTACAGTTTCGATTCACCGCTAAGCAACATAACCTCGACTAAACAGTTGTTCCAGATGCACCATGATGCAATCAGAGACTTAAAAGAGAAGGTAAAAGAACTAACAAGGTCACCCACAAGCCGTATGGAAGTGTCTCTATATATCGAGACTGTCCAAAACGTGTGACATTGGACCATTTATCACGTATTATAACAATGTTTTTAACCAAAGACCTCTGCAACGTGTCAGCACCATACCGCTTTAAACGATGATCTGTGGCGCTTGAGAACAAGCCCGAACGATCGCAAAAGTCTCGAATGCACAAATTTATTCATGTCTACGAATGAAATGAAACTCAAAAATTATTCATTCATGCCTTTTCGCTCTTGATGTTCAGCGCTTTCACTCCCTCCACGACGTCTCCCATGGTGGTCTCTGCCTCGCCGAAAGCCGACTCAACCCCACTGACTGCGCCGCGGCGGTGCGACACGCGTAGAGCAGGTGTGGGTGTGGGAGAGGGACAGCACTAGTTGTGCATTGATTGGCCGCCTCATGAATGAATCATTGGCAGCACTACTACAATAGTCTCTCAGAAGATGGGAAAAAGTAAATGATGAGAGATAATCTCAACCTGCTGATCAAACAGAAACAGCCTGGTTTCAGCAGAAGTTGAATGCCAGAATAATGCATTTTAATAGGTGTGTGGAAAGCTAGCAATTCAGTTTGTTAACATTGTTTTTTGACATCATGTTCAATTAAATAAGGACTAGAGTAGATACTTCCTTCTGTTCCAATGTTGGTGTTCTTTAAATAATAATTACCTGCATGGCATGCATCTTCTTTTTTCAGGGATGATGGTCCACTTAGGTTTCGAGGCCAGCAAGATGACTTAAAAGAGCGCAGCAAAGACTTACAAAATCTTGAGCGGCAATCTTTGAAGCAAAGAAAAGGGATAAATACGTCAAACAAAATGAAAATCTTGAGTTCTCCAGTTTCATTCTTTGCGCCCAACTGGACACCTGGTGGATGGGTTTTCTTATATTTCCTTTACCTTGGTCTTCTCACTTTGATCATTGGATTAATCCATTCCAGTCTACCAGAACCATTAACCATGGATGACTTATCTGCTGCAAGTGATAATTCAGAGCGGTAATGTTTTGTGTTACCTGTATTATGAATGTAAATTTTTACACAAATTTGTTACGTTTTCATATTTTTGATTTTAGTTTCATTGGTGCTAATGCTGAAGCGTACCTTAAATCTCTTATCAAAATGGGTCCAAGACCTGTTGGTAGTAAGGAAAATGAAGTTATGGCACCAGATTTTCTACGAGCTGAAATTATGAAAATTCAGAAAGAATCCAACAATATGCAATTTATTTATATTTCTGATCAAGTGGTTAGTGGATCATTTTACATCAAGCAAAATCTTGGGTACGCAAGTTTTTACCACAATGTACAGAATATTGTAGTTCGACTGAGTTCTCGTCAAGGAGGTAATTCCTCAGCAGTTCTTGTAAACTGTCATTATGATAGTGTTCCTGGGAGCCCTGGTAAGAAACAATTGAACAGCCCGGATAGATTTGTTATAGATCTAAATCATGTCTTATAACATATAACTGACTAGGTGCCAGCGATGATGCATTTCATTGTGCTGTTATGCTGGAGCTACTGCGAGTTTTATCACAATCAAAGAAACCCTACCTTCATGATATTATTTTCTTATTTAATGGTGCTGAGGAGAGTGGACTTCAGGTACGTACAACAGCTGTAATAAAAATTTGGTGGAAAGAAACAAAGAATAATCAATTTATATAACTATTCTTTGTTCTCACGTTTCTAGGCATCTCATGGATTTACTACTCAGCACAAGTGGGCCAAGGATGTCAAGACATTTGTCAACCTTGAAGCTTGTGGAGCTGGAGGCAAGGAGGTTTTGTTCCAAACTGGACCTAATTGCCCGTGGCTGGTAGAGGTGAGATAATTCTATTCCTTCAGCTTATATCTGCTTGCTTGATAAAAACTATGAATGTTGCAAAAAGGAAAATTTTAATAAACTGAATTGTTTTTTTTAGATCTATGCCAACGTTGTTCCTCATCCTCATGGAACAGTCATGGCTGAAGAATTGTTTCAGAGTGGTGTTATTCCTTCTGATACAGATTTCCGAATATTCAGAGACTTTGCACACATACCAGGCATGTACAGTGGTGTTTAAAGTATGTTTGGGTACAATTCTTAAAACTGACAAAAATTCTCTAATCTGCAAATTTTTCTTTTTTGTCAAGGGGTTGACTTTGCTCACTCTGATAATGGATTTGTCTACCACACTAAATTTGATAATGGCAAGTTAGTATTTGGCGGCTCATATCAACACACTGGAGATAACTTGCTTGCGCTTATGCCAGCATTAGCAAACAGCCCCCTTCTTGATTCTGTTGACCAATCAGGAGGTCCAATGGTCTATTTTGATTTTCTTGGAATGTTTTTCATTCACTACTCAAAAATAGTAGGAACTGTTCTTAACATATTCGTCACAGTTTTGTCTTTTAGCACAATTGTGGTGCAGCTTTTCAAAACAAGAAAAGGTAATATTTGATTTCCACCAAATAATTTTGCATTTTGGATTTCTATTATCTAGTATTATATTGAGTGATTTTTTCCAAAGCTATTGGACAAACATCATCCGAAATTTCGTGGACATTTGGCTTTGCTGTTTCTGCAACACTCGTTGGTTGGATTATATCCATATTGTATATTTTTTTATTGACTATGTTGCTGAATTGGGCTAATAGCACTCAATCTTGGTATCGCAGTTTTTACTACCAGTTTGGTTTGTACTACTGTTCAACTATGTTTTTCTGTGTCACTACTCCATTCCTTCTTAATCAAAAAGTAAGTATCTCCTAAAATGATTCCTCTTGACGTATGATTGCTTTAAGAATGCTTCTCACAACACCTCTTTTTTTTCTAGTCCAAGTTATCAAACTTGCACCAATCCATTATGAATTCTTTGGGAACACAATTTCTTTGGACTGTAGTTTTGCTCCTAGGAACCACCTTTGGCATACGCTCAACTTATCTTATATTGATACAGGTTACGCCATCGGTCATAAGTAATTTAGGATTATTGTTCTGCAGAAATTACAGATGTGAGTAAGCTTTGATGTTTTTAAAATAGTTTTAAATTTCAAAAAAGAAAAAGAATCCCCGTTTTTATTGTCATTTTAATTGTAATTAAAAATGCAGCGAGAACTTGGATTGGTATCCAAATTCTGCAGTCACTGATTCCTCTCATATTTGGAATACGTCACACTGTTATGGCAATGGCTGTATTTATTCCAATCACCAATCGATCAGGTGCTGTATTGAATGTGGAACTTGTAATTGGAATTCTGTCTGCACTGACTTGCATCATTATAGTTAGTTATTGGGTATGAACTCTGATTTTCAAAATTTCCCTTTATACTATAGTATACTTCCACAGCTAAAAAATATTTTGATTCCAGGTTCCTTTGTCGGTATTTATTCGTCACATTTCAGTTGTATCAGTTTTTGCAACGGCCCATTTAATCACTTTACTGATTGTATTGGCTGCCCGACCCCTTCCATTTTACGAGTGGCAATCAGGAGAGTCGGGAGTTCTTCAAAGAGTTCCTTTATGGGTATCTATGGCTCTTTCATTTGTTGATTTAAAGAAATCTAGGTTAACATGCTGTTTATTTATTAAAAACTTCTAGCATATTGTGCTTCTAGCATGTGCAGCGCAATATATATGATGAGTCAGGAAAAGTCCGACTCTCTGACTCTGGCTATTGGGTGATGAATATGGACCGAAGTGCACCTTATCTCTTAAGGGCATCTGTTCCAGAAATGACTTCAGCAGAGCAAGCCACTGTCCTCTGTGACAGTGAGTTGTTTTGTGCCCTTCCACTGTACAGCCCAAGGATGACAAACTTTTTGTAATTATAAATTAAGTTTTCACATTGGAACAAAATTTTTAATTCAGTCTGGTTAATTTAAATTTTATTTTTGATGTACCTATAGGAATGGAAGCAATTGGATTGCAGGCCCAAAACCATTTAAACAGTCCATCCTCACAGTTAATACACAAATAAGCGCTCTTACTCCTGTCACAAGGAGAATAACTTTCACAATATCAGGTGCAGCTATTAGTTGTTTTCTTCATTGTATTCAAAATGTTGTTGTGACTGTACATCATACATTAAATTGAAACCATATTAAGTTTTAAAACAATTTTTTTAAAAATTGTTCCAGGGCCACAGCAAATGAGTTTTATGTTTGCTCCTTTGCCTGGTATTACTGCACAAGGATGGAGCCTACAGGCAGATTTGATACCCTCTGTATTGTATAAAGAGAGACCTGCATATTTCATCTTTTACCAAAGAGGTTTGGATTCACTATCATGGACTTTTCACATAGATTTCAAAGTAAGCATTTCTCACTTCTTTAACCTTGTCTCGCTGAAGTAAAATATGGTTTATCTACTACTGATCTAGTTACTTTTCAGGTTGATGAATCTCACTTCAAAGGAAGTGTGAACAACACAGTCACTGTAGGAGTGTCGGGCAGTCACATTGATTTTGGTCACTTCTCCGAGGAGTTCAAGCTTTTCATTCAGAAATTCCCAAAATGGTCTTTTGTCTCACCACGAGCAAGTGAGTTGAGAATTTGGGAAGTATAAGTGTTTATCATTTTATAGATAATGAGAAGGAATACAGCTCCTTAGAATGGTAGTTACTGTAAATTGGAAATCACTTTTCATCGAATACTTAGTACACAAATACTGTTTAAATTTGTCTGTGATATTTATTTACAACTGAAGTTCAGTAGATACAGTCTGATTTATTCGGCACATTTATCTATATATAACATAGATACAAAGTCATCCTCAAATTCAAAACAACGCTTAGTTATAATGTCTTTCAAGCAAACATTCTGTCCAATCTGCTCATTTGTAAAATTATGTATAAAGTTATAGCACTTGATGTCTTATGTAAAATATTTATACAAGTAACACAAATTGTCAACAATATCTGTTTTGATATTAAAAGATCTATTTTACATAACTATAAGAAATATAATTTACATACATACTTCATTACTATTTTTTATTTACTATCTTACAGTATCTGTGGCTTTTGACTTTGTAACAGAAGAAATGTCCGGTGAGAAAAAGTGAAGAGGTAGTGAAGGGCAGGGTCAAAGAAACGAGGAAGGGAAAAAAATTGAAACCTACCCCAGTCAACTGACATTAGTTCCTCTTCACTTATCCTGTGGTGGAGCAATTTATCTGCCATGTGCTGACACAACTAACAACATTACATGAGAGTTTTGTCACATATTATGGTTTTACAAAAGAGGTCATATACTATCACTAAGCAGTCACTCATCATACTATCATCTTATAGGCTACTCTTTTTACTTTTTACAATTAACTAAGTACTGTGTGCTGGAGGAAATATGTTACTTTAAGTACATAGCTTTTCTCTCTTGATATTGCATGTCATTTGTACCGTTAAAATTTTGTGCAACAAACAAAGTACAACAACAGAGTATCTCAGAAATAACTCTGAAACTGTAGCTGTTGGTTTTCATGGTTCAGCTATTTTGGAAGTTTGCTTCAGTTGTCTGTGAGAATTTATTATGTACATTTCTGATTAGCACATTACAAACAAAAATATATACATTGTAGAGTAAACCCATTTGCACAGACAAACTAAACAAGAAATATGAAAACTGACCAAAAAACTTTTAAGTTTGAATTTAGAATTGAAACTTACTCCTCTGTCAAATGACAATATCAATCATTATCCATTCCCTAACTAAACTTACAACTGCTATGAAAAAATATATTGTACAAAGAAATGTAGAAAAGGAAAAACACTGCAACTATTCTTACAATTATATGCAATACTGTTATTGAGCATAAAATTCATTTCAGTGTTGGTAAAAATTCATACATACAAATCATCAACTCTCAGTCCATCATTAACTATGCTTATTTCTGGCTCTTCTGCTGACGAGTTTCTGAGCTTGTACGTCATTGTCATATCACATAGAACCTTTTGTCTTCCATGTCATGAGTTATTTGCTGTGATTCATACACAGTAGGTAACACTGTTAGACAACATTCAAGGAAGTCCCATGGTATGCCTTCAAGTGAGAAAACACAAAGAACGAAATTTCACATAACTATCATCAACTTTTTTTGTTCTTTGGATTTTCATAGACTTCCTTACACTTAGACAGTATATTAAAACTGACTCTCCAAAACAAAATAGTTCTGACTCTAATCACCAACAACCAACATTTGCTACTAGTAATTTGTCAGAGCAAACTTGGAATGGCCCCATAAAATGACACAATTAGATTCTATGCAAAGTGTCTTTCGTTTAAACTTAATTGGCACAATTTAAGACAAAATCTACAATAATAAAATAAGGGAGGGGCAGAATGGAGGAACAGTGGGGTTGACGAGAGCGCGGTCCAGAGTGAGAAATGCCGGTCACATAAATGCGTCGAGAGAGACGATGTTCGCTTCGACGTATCGTTCTGTCACCGGGGGAAGACCATACGCGCGAGCACGCAGCCCCTTCTCACTTGCGCGGCGTCGTATTGTAGTCCACGTACACCCGCACCACCTCCCCGGAATACTTCCGCTGCGAGGGCATGAAGTAGAAGTCCGGCTGCAGGCCGAGCTCCCTGGCCGCCTGGCTCCGCCGGTCCTGCGTGTAGTACCCGTTGTGGGGCACGGGCGTGGGGCCGTGCGCCGTGCGCGGCAGGGAGTAGGTGCTGCGGTCCTGGGGGTACCCACCGGGGCCGCCGGGGCCGCCGCGAGGCCGCTGCAGCGAGCGGGTGTCCTGGGGGCCGCCCTGGGGGTAGCTGGGCGGCCTGCGCCCGCCGTCCACCATGTCGCGGCCGTTGGAGCGCGACGAGCCGTTGGAGCTGGCGCCCTGCACCAGACCGGGCTTCTCCTCGGACTCGAACGCCTCGAAGGCGTAGTTGGTGTTGGCGGCCGAGTAGTCCCGCCACGCCGAGTTGGGGATGAGGTGCTCCTGTGGGGGGCGGAAGAGGGTCCGGTTAGAGCGGCGGGGAGGGGTGGAGGCGCGGCCGGGTCGTCGGGGCGAGTGTTGCTCGGGGAAGGACCAGCTGAGTACCAGCTGATTGCCATAGCTGAGTACCAGCTGATCGCCAGCTGAGTACCAGCTGAGTACCAGCTAAGTGCCAGCTGACTACAAGCTTAGTGCCAGCTGTGCATTGTCTGAGAACAAAGCTGAGTACCAGCTGACGGCCAGCTCTCGTCGACCTCAGCAGGGCCCACCGATTCAACGTCCACCTAGGCGTCAGCCGTGCGATCGATTTTCTTTTTAGAGGTAAGCAGCACATTGTATTAGTGTGTTAATTTAGCAATTAAAAAGATAAATGAAATATGTTGGTTTAGAGTGTTTATTTTTCTGTTAAGATGGAGTCAGCAAGTTATTGAAAGTCAGTCAAGCTTCATGAAGAATCACAGGAAAAAGTGTGAAAAACACAAGTAGAAAATCTCAAATTAAACAGATTTCTATCCTGAGACTTTCCTCTCAGGATAAATAAGGTACAGTACAAACACACATGCGTTACCCACAAGGCATTCCACAAAGCTACGCCATGCGTTGAGATGGTGAACATGCTACAGCCAGTTGGTGTCCAGTCAGGCAACAAGGGATAGCAGTTGAGGCAGAAGTTGAAGCGCAAATACTAAAGCCAACAGTCTCCCTAGCGAGATAGAATAAAGAAGAAATTTGCACTTGTGGCTGAAAGTGAGAGGCAGAGAGGGAGAAGTCATGCGGAAGAAAACGGCACCACCTCCAACCTGTCGGCAGCTCAACCAAATGACTCAAGAGAGAGTCGACGGTTCAAATACCCACACGTCCAGAGGGGTGTGTCTTTCGTTCCGGGCTCCCCCTCCCTGCGCTCCCCCTCACCGGCCCGAGTGACGGAGGGCACGACTCACCTCCCTCAACGCACCACCGAGCTCATCGCGAGCTGCGCCGGCCTCGGCGCCGGCTCACCACTGAGCCTGTCCGTGGCCGTAGCCCGCCCCTGAGTAGCCGTACGCGTGGCCCGCGCCCGCGTGTCCGCGGCCGCCCCCGCCGCCCCCACCGCCCCCTCCCCCCCGCGAGCTGCGCGACTGCAGCGTGCCCGTGTTGACGGGCGCCCAGTAGGCGTGCGAGGGGTGCTGTTGGTGTGGGTGGCGGGACAGGGTGGACTGGGAGGCAGCGGTGGTGGGGGTCTGGTAGTGGGGGGCGGGGGCGTCGCGGGGGTGGAACTGGCCGGGGGCGCCCAGAGGTATGGCGTACACGCGCTGCAGGCAAGGCGTGGCGTGGCGAGGCGTGGCAGCGGCATGAGCATGGGATGGCAGGGCAGGGCAAAAGGTGGGGGGGGACAACGACCCATCGCATTAGTTTGACGCAAAAAAGGAGGAGGCAGAAGCAATGCGATGAACCACGTCAAAAAAAATAAAAAAATGCTAAATTAGGGTTTGAGTAGGAGGTAGAGAGACATATGTTTTTGTTCACATTTCATCAGAGCTCACAATTTTGTGTTCTGTTAATTTTCCATTAAAATACAGATTAGTTTATCTATAGAAACAAAATGTCATTCCCTCTTCCTCTCATCCCCAATCAGCCAATTTGTCTGTTGTCCGTCAGTCTGTCCATTGAAGTGCCACTGCCTCTTTCACAACACTACCGGATGAAATGTGCAAACTAGTATCATCCCTCATAAAACTTAACTTTCAAAAGTGCAAAGAACTGTAGACAGAAATATGAAGATGTCACTCTGAGAAATGAATGTATGATATGGCATGATCTATCTGTGCACCGCACAGTGTGCAGTAAGCTTGCTGGTTTTGTAACGAAAACATTAAATTTCATGACAGACAAAGGAAGAGCAACTGCATTTAGGCCAATCTACCGATTTTCATGATAAGTATTTTCCCAAAATAATTACTACCATTAGATAAATTTTTGTGGCAAAATGATTTTAAGTAAGCAAGTTTTAAAATTAAAGTAAATTAAAGCTAACCACAATTTGAAAAAATCTACAACAAACTATTAAGTGAATGCATTCTTCTTCTTAATTTTTTTAAGCTAAGTAAACATTTACAAAAAGACATATCCAAGTTTTAGAATGTTCCCAAAATTTTCACTACAGACAGCACAGCTCAAGACAAAGCACGTGATAGTAGTTACAAGTGTGTGTTCACCATCTCAACCAACACAACTCTACTGAAGCATGCACATCAGATCCCCAATTTAAATCAGTATTGGGCAAGTTACTTAGTTTTGTCACTTCTGGAATGTTGCATTAAAGTCTCCTACATTTTTACAAATTTGAATACATATTAAAGAAAAGTACCTCAGCAAAGCACTTGATGAAAAATAATTGTTACTAACACGATGCAATGAATAATATCAAAGGAAGACCATTAAAAAGTCACATGCTGGTGAAAATTTGAAAACAAACGTATGATAGTAGAAAAGAAGCGGTTACTGACTCTGACTGACAGTCTCAAAATATAAAATTTTGAGGTAAAGGTAAAAAAAATTTACATTTGCTAGTAATCTTTTCTGCTCAAATCAAAGACTACTAAATTAAATTTCCTTAAATGAAAATAGAAAAAAAGTCTTATTTACCAATAGTAAAAATTGGTAAGAATGTAGGGAAATGACACACAGTGATTTGAGGAAAATTTTGCAATTTTGCTGAGCCCATTGTCTATCTGACTGTGTCATGCCATGCTATGACTTAAATTCCCTTGGAATCTCTACTCCCCAAATCAAAATTAGGTTTGAGAAGCAATAAAAAGAAAAGGAAGAATGAATTAAACTCACCTTGTGATGAGGAGATGGACTCTTGGCTGTACGATAAATGGTGCAGCCTGCTTGAATGATAGCTACAAGGACTAGAGCCACAATGCAACCAATAACTATGTACAATTTGGTTGCAGATAACAGAACATCATTGGATGAATCATCCTTAGGAAGGTCAGCTGTCACTAAAGGAAAAAATTGAGTTAATTTTAATTCGAGAAAATATTTGATGGAAAGAGATGCTATAAGACTTTATAGCTTACACAGCTGAGGCTCGAACACAAGGTACTGAGGGTCAACAGTTAGGGCTCCCACCCTCCCTGTTGCAAGTGTGTCCTGTAGCAGGCGCTCTGCTTGGCTGCCTGCTGCTGCTGCCATGGCAGATGAATCAGCATTGGCCTCCAATGAGCGGCCAGCAATAGCAATCAGACCAGCCTTATCCAGCACTAGTCTCATTGTTGCAACGACCTGGCCGTCTTCCCTGAAAAGCAGGATGTGAGCAATTATGCAAAGTGTATGCATCAAAGAGGATCAATTGGTTTTATTTTTGTAGTGACACTTACTCAACAAAATCATCAACCTCTAGATTGTGGAAGCCAGGAGTTTTTGATAGAACATCACTAAATCCTGTTCCAACAGTGTTGGCCAGAGTGTCAAAGTCTTGTGAACCACGCTTGGGAGTTTGGAACTTGTTTCCTAGATGTGTTAATTTCACCTTAACATTATATGCGAGTCTGGGTGGAGCAGGGGTGGTGCTCACTCTGCTTCCTGAGCCTAGAATTTTAAAAATGAGGTTTAAAAATGGCATGCTTTGAAATATTTCATACTATAACTATCCTGAATTATTTAGTAGATTTGTTTTTGTACTCACCCTTTCCACAAGATTTAATGCAGACTCTTTGGGCTGATAAGCTGGGAACCTGCTCATGTTTGCGAATCTTCTTGTTTACATCATTTTTAACTCCTCCCTTTACAGGGAACATGAAATACACACACTTTTCTTCGGCTAAGGAGATATCCTGAAATAGTTAAACACATATAGTTCATATGAACTTTGGATTCTGAAACACCCAATTCTTTTGAGTACAGTTAACTCTTTCAGGAACTTTACCTTGGTGTCAGAGGTTGAACGCTTGCGGACAAAAGAAAGAGTTGTGGTTCCATCCCGAATGCTACCACTTGTGTTGTAAACATCTTGAGATAAATCCAACTGGGGTGCTGTGTATCCTGTGATCCATGTGTCCATTACAAATGCTCTTCCACTCTTGTCAACCCATCCAAGAATTGCATCTGTCTGGGACTGATGAAAAAAAAATACAAAAAATTAAAACTTACAATGTAATTACTAGAAATTGCAAAAAAGGTATAAATTTTTGAAAAAGCTATTCATACCATTTTTTGATCATCAGAGAAGCCAATGCCAGTCCAAAGGTCAGTATGAGTAGTTTGGATGGTGAATTTAACTTCATCTTTTTTCTCTAAAAATTCCCATTTGGCATAGTATTCACAGTTACGTTTCGCTGGATTACAGTTGCGTGGGGTCTGCCAGTGACCACCACAGATGTCTAAATCTTCTGTTGCACCACCAGCCTGGCTTTGTTGTTGAGTTGTCTCTTCTACAATGAAAGAGGAGAGTAATACAGACATGTGCTTAATTTTAAAATAAAAGATGGATGGATAGATAGATGGAGTTTCAAACTAATGTTTAACGAGGCTTGCACCAAACAAAACTAATAGATTAAATTACCATAAAAGTTGATGGTTGTAACTCCACGTTGAGATCCATGCCCGTGGTATTTTAATTCATCGGCCTTGTAGAAATCCTTTACACTTGCAGTGTCTCTCTCTAGACCAGACTTTGGTACATGAACATATTTTCCAGTTTCTTGACCCTTTGCCCAAATAACATGCATGAGGTCTCGTTCAATTGAATGATCAGTTGGTTCCTTGGCTGAGGATGGAAGGAGGAATTCAAGAGAAATTAAAATTTGCAAAACTCACTACTCATACATACATGTGACAAATTTTTGTTTACATACATATAAGTTTCTTTCTGAATAGAATGGTAGTCACACCGTCTTTTTCAAAGCCCATAGCTGCGGTGAGGTCATTCTTACCACCCCAGAATGTGTCAAACCTAGGAGTTGATCTAGAGGAAAGCAAAAATTGTAAGTGTGAAAAAAAAAATCAAAAAATTTACAGGTGAAGTTGTTAGTAAAATTAAAAGTAGGCTACATACCTGTCTCTAGTGTAGTAGTCCCAGATACGACTAGCAGTTCCACGGGCCATTCCAATCACCATGTCAGTGCAATCCATAGGATTGAAGTCATGGGCAGGTGCATAGGGGTGTTTAGCAAATCCTGCATGTACAAAGAGGAAGTATGGATAAAGTCTTAGGTCATTAAATAAACACAGTTTTGAGAATGAAGAGAGTCACTAAGAAGAGTTACTTGCATTTAGCCTATTGCAAATTTATAAAGATTTTTCAAAAATTAAAAAGTCTAAAGTTACAGACAGCATATGAATGAATATTAATTTTAGATCTGTCCATCTAAAGGTAAAACCATTTACATGCCATGCAAAAAATAGCTTAAAACTAATTTGTGTTTTACTTAAACCAATACCTAGTTGAAACAAAAATGTGTGCAAAAAGGGAGTGTTAAAAATAGATTAATAAATCAAAGTGATTCTCTACATCCTTCAGTAGTGCAGAATATACCATGCATGCAGAAATCCATTAGAGTATTATAGAAAAAGTAACATTTGAAAACTTTGAGGAACACTCAAAACTGTACAAACACATTTTAATTGTGCTCTTATTACAAGGAAAAATGTGGAAACAGAGTACAAGTTACACAAAAATTATTAAATTATGTTTCATGTTTATATACACGTAGACAGGACTCATAGATTCCTGGGAATGTATTAGGGGGCCCACATCCACAATACTATACAGAGCACATAAATTAGCACTATACAGAAAATATGTTACTCTGTGATCATTCTAACATTGAGAAATGATTAAACTTGCAATTTATAAAATAGGCAGAAGATTCCATCTGAAACTAAATTGTATCAGTAGCTATCTGCTGTATTCATCATACCTGGTGGTGACGCAGCCTTCGAGCCCTGTCCGGGCACAGCTTGAGGTTTGGATTTCTGGGAGGAAGTGGGCTCAGGTTCAGACTTTGGCTCAGGCTCAGATTTGGGTTCAGGCTCAGATTTAGGTTCAGGCTCAGACTTTGGTTCAGGCTCAGACTTTGGTTCAGGCTCAGATTTGGGTTCCGGCTCAGATTTGGGTTCAGGCTCAGACTTTGGTTC